CACTTGGCTGTTGCTTAAGGGGCTTTGTAGTTTGACTTCAGCTTTACTGTGTGGAAAGTCCTACTCCCAGCCTACAACTCCCAGAATGCTCTGAATCCTTGTATTAGGGCTATGGCAGAGTGAACATGCTGCCATCTTGTGAATAAATAAAGTTCTGCATTCCCAGTAACAATGCATAGTATCACATATACTGTAGGGAAAATATTTATTTGATCTGCTGCAGATTTTTAAGTTTTTATAATAGGTGTATTTTAAATGATAGAGATGGAATATCAACCAAAAATCCTGAAAAAAACACATGATACAAATGTTATAAATTGAGTTGCAGTTCAGTGAGTAAAATAAGTATTTGATCCCCAAGCAAAACATGACTTAGTACTTGCTGGAGAAACCCTTGTTTGCAAGCAGAGAGGTAAGACGTTTCTTGTAGTTGGTTACCAGGTTTGCACACATCTCAGGAGGGATATTGGTCCACTCTTCTTTACAGATCTTCTCTAAAACCTTAAAGAGATTACTGTGTTAAATGGTTTTGAACAGAGCAGCCTGGATTCTCCTCTTTTCAGGCCCCTCGCAGGCTCTCCTTACTACTCTTGTCTGTCAGGTGACCCCACAGCAAGCAGCTTGCTATGGGGGCACCAGCTGCTTAGTGTGTCCATTCACACATGGAGCTGCAGCTTGGCCCCGCCCCTCTAGTTCCTCATTGGCTGACTGGCTGTGATTGACAGCAGTAGGAGCCAATGGCTCCTGCTTGCTGTCTCAGACAATGAGGAAGCAGAGACCTGGGACAGCTGAGGCTGTCACTCACATTTCTGGATCGTGATGAGGCTCAGGTAAGTATTGAGGGAGCTGGAGGAGCTGCTGCACACAGAAGGTTTTTTACTTTCAAGCAAAGAATGCATGTAGATAAAAAAACCTTCAGCCTTCACAACCACTTTAAGGTTTCTTGGCTGTCATTTGGCAACTCGAAGTTTCAGCTCCCTCCATAAATTTTCTATAGGATTAAGGTCTGGAGACTGGCTAGGCCACTCCATGACCTTAATGTGCTTCTTCTTGAGCCACTCCTTTGTTGCCTTGGTGGTATGTTTTGGGTCATTGTCATGCTGGAAGATCCATCCATGATCCATATTCAGTGTTCTGGCTGAAGGAAGAAGGCTCTCATCCAAGATTTTGCAATACATGGCCCCTTCCATTGGCCCCTTTAATGCAGCAAAGCCGGCCTGTACCTTTAGCAGAGCAATAGCACCAAAGCATAATGTTTCCACCTTCATTCTTGACTGTAGGGATGGTGTTCTTAGGGTCAAAGTCTGCATTTTTCTTCCTCCAAACACAGCGAGCCGAGTTAATGCCAAAGAACTCAATATTGGTCTCACCTGACCACAGCACTTCGTCTCATTCCGTCTCTGAATCATTTAGATGTTCATTGGCAAACTTCAGACAGGCCTGTACATGTGACTTCTTGAGGAGGGGGACCTTGCGGAGGACCTTTCAATCCATGGCAGCGTACTATGTTACCAAGGGTTTGTGTAGTGACTGTAGTCCCAACTGCCTTGAGATCATTCACAAGCTCCTGCCGTGTAGTTCTGGGCTGATCCCTCACTTTTCCCATGATCATCCTTACCCCATGAGGTGAAATCTTGCATGGAGCTCCAGACCGAGAGCGATTGATGGTTATTTGCAAATAATCGCTCCAACAGTTGTCTCCTTCGCACCAAGCTTCTTGCTGATGGCCTTGTAGCCCATTCCAGCCTTGCGCAGGTCTACAATCTTGTCCCTGATGTCCTTTGACAGCTATTTGGTCTTGCCCATGGTGGTGCCCAAGAAAGAGATTCTGTAGACAAGTGTATTTTATAGAACACAAGATATGAGGCGAGCGCAGATAATATGGCAGCCGCTAGCACAAAAGGCATGGTAACAAACCCACAGTAATCAATTCAAATGTAAGTGCAGCGCTAAAGCATAAGTGACAAATGCAATCATAAATTGCTTATGTGAATAGAAGTGTTCATACAAAATTCCAGTGAAGCAAATCAAATAAAACGTCTCAGATCACATAGAATCATAAAATCATAAAAAAACTATAACATTCTGAATATAAATAGTGGATAGTTCGTGACATTGCAGGTCACAGAAGTGCCAAGTGATATATGTGTGCTTATTTAGCAATAATGGTGATTATACATAGTCCGTGGCACTACAGGTCACAGCAATGCCTGATGTGCGTGGAACTACAAGGTGCAGCAATACCAGCTTGGATGCTCAAGAGTTCTCATGATCCAACATTGGAATCCATCCACCTTATATGGATGTGCACTCACCAGAACGCTACTTGTATAATAGCGTTAATGCTGATCCTTACGGGGGGGGGGTCTCAGGAAGCCATAAATAGGAACCAGACTTCACCAGGGTCAGGGCTTTGCAAAACCAGCAAAGGATCCTCCTAGGGAGAGAAGCTCACCACAGGAGCTGAAGGTATGGCAATATAGTGTAGTATTTATTGTAAATAGTTAAAAGCAATCCACATGGATACAGCAAAGAGTTAAATGCATAAAAGCATACCAAAATGGCTGCCGCTCCAAGCTCCGCGGCGGTGGCGTGACATCAGTACGTAAGGCTCCACCCAACGTGTTTCGTGCGCATGCATGTCTTCAGGGGCACGCTTACTGTGTATTGTATACACATAAGTTATAGTTATGAGCACCTTCTTAAATCAACAGGACTAATCTGTGTTGCACATGGGCGCATAGCCAGTCTGTGGGAGACATAATTATTGTTGGTTGGTAGGGGATCAAATACTTATTTTACTCACTGAACTGCAACTCAATTTATAACACCTGAATCGTGCTTTTTTTTGTCGATTTTTTGGTGATATTCTGTCTCTATCATTTAACCACCTCCCATCCTGCCGTTGTATATAAACGGCCGGACGGTGGCATTGCAGGGTCGGGTGACCGTTTATAAATGGCCTCCCCGCACCCTGCTTGTGCGCGCTCCCTGGCGAGCGCGCAGCACCACGATCCGGTGCCCGCTGTATCTTCTGGACACAGTGAAACACCGATCGTCGGACGGGACCTCTGTACGAGGTCCCGATCATGTGATCACTGATTGGCCAATCAGTGATCACATGCAAAGTAGTAAGCAAGATGTCACTTGTGACATCATTGCTTACTACGTGTGAAATCTGTGAATGATCACAGAGGTCACATGGTACAAGGCTATTCACAACAGCCTTGTACCATGTGACAAGCTGTGACCAATCTCAGCTCACTTAATGGCTGCAAGAATGCAGACGGAGAGAAAGAGAAATGATTGCTTTTACATCCTATGTCGGTGTAAAAGCAATCGGTGTAAAAAAAAAAAATATATATATATTCATCACCCCCCACAAGTAGTGCAGTGTCACCATGGTGACACTGTACTGCTAGGATGACAGTATGTAAAAAAAAACAAAAAAAAAACAAATAATAATATAAAAAAATTAAATAAAAATGTAAAAAAAGTTTAAAAATTATAATTTTTGGTTATAAACTAATTTGGCTTATTTTTTGTTTTACTAAAACCAAGATTTATGATGAAATATTGTTTATTTGCAAACTTTTATAAGAAAAACACTTTTTTTCAAAATTTTTGGACTTTTTCATTTACATAGCAATTTACATAGCACCCAGTGGTGAATAAATACCACCAAAATAAAGCTTTATCTGTCTCAAAAAATGGTAAAAAAATCATATGGGTACAGTGTTGCATGACCGCGCAATTGTCATTCAAAGTGTGATAGCGCTGAAAGATGAAAATCGGCCTGGACAGGAAGTGGGTGAAAGTGTCTGGACAGGAAGTTATTAAAATACATGTTGAGATTCAGCCTTGTGTTGGGATATCAACAGGATCAATCACCACTGTCCAGATAAAAGGACATACATTTCATTCATGTACAGCATTGTCAGTTAAAGTAACACAGTGCCGTTTCACAAAAAATGCCCTGGTCAGGAAGGGGGGTAAATCCACTGGAGGGCAAGTGGTTCCCTCCCACTGGTGCAATTTGGCCACACACACCCTATGACATGCCTCCGGGGGATGGGGGGAGGGTGATTTCCTGCACACCTATTCTCTGAGAAAGAAAACTCTATCTATATATATATATATAGACCGTGCTCAAAAAAATTAATGGAACACTTTGAAAACACATCAGATCTCAATAGGGAAAAATATCATGCTGGATATCTATACTGATATGGACTGGAAAATGTGTTTTTGGAACAGAAGGATGCCCCATCGTTTGATGGAAATGAAAATGTTCAAACTACAGAGCACTGAATTCAAAGGACCCACGAAAATCAAAGGGAAAAAATAATGCAGCAGGCTAGTCCATTTTGCTGAAATTTCATTGCAGCAACTCAAAATGGTAGTTTGTATGGCCCCCACATGCTTGTATGCATGCCTGACCACGTGGTGTCCTGGGGTATTTCCTCCCAGGTCTGGATCAGGGCATCACTGAGCTCCTGGACAGTCTGAGATGCAACCTGACGGCATCGGATGGACCGAGACATAATATCCCAGAGGTGTTCTATTGGATTTAGTTCAGGAGAGTGTGGGGGCCATTCAATGGTATCAATTCCTTCATCCTCCAAGAACTGCCTGCATACTATTGCCACATGAGGCCAGGTATTGTCGTGCACCAGGAGGAGCCCAGGACCCACTGCACCAGTGTAGGGTCTGACAGTGGGTCCAAGGATTTCATCCTGATATTTAATGGCAGTCAGGGTGCCATTGTCTAGCCTGTAGAGGTGTGTGCGTCCCTCCATGGATATGCCTCCCCAGACCATCACTAACCCACCACCAAAACGATCATGCTGAATGATGTTACAGGCAGCATAACATTCTCCACGGCTTCTCCAGACCCTTTCATGTCTGTCACATGTGCTCAGGGTGAACCTCCAAATCATTGGATTTAGGTGTTCCAATCACCTCCATGGTCACAGGTGTATAATATCAAGCACCTAGGCATGCAGACTGCTTCTACAAACATTTGGGAAAGAATGAGTCGCTCTCAAGAACTCAGTGAATTCAAGTGTGGTACTGTGATAGGTTGCCACCTGTGCAATAAACCCATCAGTGAAATTTCCTTGCTACTAAATATTCCACGGTCAACAGTTGGTGGTATTATAACAAAGTGCAAGCAAATGGGAACAACAGCAACTCAGCCACAAAGTGGTAGGCCACGTAAAATGGCAGAGTGGGGTCAGCGCATGCTGAAGTGCACAGTGCACAGAAGTCGGCAACTGTCTGCAGAGTCAATAGCTAAAGACCTCCAAAATATGTGTGACCATCAGAATAGCACAACAACAGTGTGTAGAGAGCTTCATGCAATTGATTTCCATGGCTGAGCAGCTGCATCCAAAACCTTACATCTCCAAGTGCAATGCAAAGCATTAGATGCAATGTTGTAAAGCATGCCGCCACTGGACTCTAGAGCAGTGGAGACATGTTCTCTGGAGTGATGAATCATGCTTCTCTGTCTGGCAATCCGATGGACCTGTCTGGGTTTGGCGGTTGCCAGGAGAACGATACTTACTTGTTTGGTGGAGGGGGATTATGGTGTGGGGTTGTTTTTCAGGGGTTGGGCTTGGCCCCTTAGTTCCAGTGAAGGGAACTCTTAAGGCGTCAGCATACCAAGACATTTTGGACAATTTCATGCTCCCAACTTTGTGGGAACAGTTTGGGGATGACCCCTTCCCATTCCAACATGACTGAACACCAGTGCATAAAGCAAGGTCCATAAAGACATGGATGAGCGAGTTTGGGATGGAGGAACTTGACTGGCCTGCACAGAGTCCTGACCTCAACTTGATAGAACACCTTTGGGATGAATTAGAGCGGAGACTGCAAGCCAGGCCTTCTCATCCAACATCAGTGCCTGACCTCACAAATGCACTTCTGGAAGAATGGTCAAACCTTCCCATAGACCAGTGTTTCTCAACTCCAGTCCTCATGGACCCCCAACAGGTCATGTTTTCAGGATTTCCCTCAGATGAAACAGCTGTGGTAATTACTAAGGCAGTGAAACTGATCAAATCACCTGTGCAAAATAATGGAAATCCTGAAAACATGACCTGTTGGGGGTTCATGAGGACTGGAGTTGAGAAACACTGCCATAGACACACTCCTAAACCTTGTGCACAGCCTTCCCAGAAGAGTTGAAGCTGTTACAGCTGCAAAGGGTGGGCCAACTCAATATTGAACCCTACGGACTAATGGGGGCCATAGACGAGTCGAAAATCATCCGAGTTTGCGGCCGAAAGAAAAATCGGCTGATTTTTCGTCTGAAAAAATAAATCATCCGATTTTTTGGCCGTAAAAAAAAAATCGTCCGATTTTCGCACCATTAGTGGGTTAATTGCTTGGTTGTTTTTTTGGGCTTTTCGCACATTTTTTTTATCAGGCATGTTGGAAATTTTGTGCCCGATTTTCCAATGATGGGCAAATCGGCCGATCGTTTTACCGATAAAAAATCTGCGCATGAGCTATGACCTGCAAGAAGAAGAAAAAGAAGTAGAAGAGGCAGAAAAAGATGAAGAAGAAGAAGATAAAGAAGAAAAAAAGATTTCCAGTCCTCTATTATATTTTATATGAAAAGTCTTGCGGTTGCAACAATGTATCTATTTGTATCCGAATAAAACCATCTGTGTCCAAAATGGATACATTGTTGCATCCGCAAGACTTTTCATAAAATATAATAGCGGACTGAAATTCTCTCTTCTTTTTCTTCTTTCTTTTTCTTCTTCTTCTTTTATTCTTCTTATTATTCTTATGTATTGCTCCCCTGTGTGCTCCCCTGTCTCTGCAAGGGACAGAAGTAATTATGGGGTTAAATGCCGGCTATAGACAGGACGAAAATCGTCCTATTTTTTTTTACCGTTGGTGGTAACGGCAGCCATTCGAACGACCGATTTTTAGTTTGTTTTTTTTTTTTTAAAAAACGGCCAGTTTTCGACCCATCTATGGCCTACATTAGGCTGGGAAGCCATTAAAGTTCATGTGCGTGTAAAGGCAGGCATCCCAATACTTTTGGCAATATAGTGTATATACTGTACAGTATGCATATATAGTATGGTTCTAGGAGATACGATCTGTCCTTTTTTCTTTGACTGGTGCTGCAATGTGCTTAATCTCATCTCTCATCTCTCTACTTGTCAGGTCTATGTAATAGCATCAGCTCTAAATCGGCACCTAGGAAATTGCTGCCCTTCCTTGAAGCTTGTCACCAACCACACTATCCTTACATTTCTCTCTTTGAAACTACTAATCCAAATGCGTTTCATCTGTCTCTGTGGAGCTACAAATTCCTAGAATGCTATTGCAGTGTTTCTTCTGTCTATGGATCTACCCATCACAGCACACTGTGTATTTGTGCATTTCCCTAGAATTTGGAGACATAGAAGCCCCAGCATATTATACTTTCTGTAGAACTACATGTTTTAGAACATACCTGGATATCTCTCATCTCTGAAATGTTTTTTTCTTCCTGCACTCTTGAAGCAAACCTGAGCCCATTGATGGGGCAGTACAGTGGCTAACTGGTTAACACTTCCGCCTGGCAGTACTAGGGTCATTGGTTTGAATCCCAACCACGGCACCACTTACTGGAGTTTGTATGTCCTCTTTGTGATGCATGGGTTTCCTCTAGGTTCTCTAGTTTCCTCCCACACTCATGCTGGTAGGTTAGTTGGATCCTATCTAAATTGGCCCTAGTATGTGGATGAATGTAAGTTAGGGACTTTAGATAGATTGTACGCTCCTTGAGGGCTAGAGACTGATGTGAATGCACAATATATATATATATACATATATATATATATATATATATATATATATATATACACACATGTAAAGCACTGCTTAAATTGACAGTGCTATGTAAGCACCTGTAATACATAAAATAAATTTAAAGCAGAGCTAAAGGCCTTATACTTACTTCTTCCCTAACAGTTCAGGTCCCTTGCTGGTGCCGGCATCTTCTCCCTGTGTGCCAACCTTTGGGCATCTCCAATGCCTGGCATGGTCTGGCATAAATCATTCACACAGGCTGGAATCAGTCACCCTGGCACACATGGACCGCATTGACAATGTAAGCTGAGCTGCAGGAACATAGGTGTATTTTATTGCAGAAGAGACGTATGTGGTAATAGCCTGCCTGCTAGCCATTTGTTAAAAAATACCTTCAGTTCAGTCAGGGCCTGGACTGAGCAAAGCTAATAGAGAGGGCCAGCATGACTAGGGCGTGCAGAGGAGGCAGAGATTGGATTTGGGTGGGAGTATAGTCAGATGGGGGTGGTTACTCACCTGACTGGAGTATTCGAGCTTGAGGGTGCTCTTGACAGGATTCGGAGGTGGGTTGGGACTTGTCAGAGGTCTGTTGGAGCTTGTGCCAGCACGTGTGTGGTTTCTCCCACCCTCCCTCCTTGGAGCTGTTTAGTTGTTTTGTTTTGCTTGCTTTGGTTATTGGTTTTGTCCTTTTTGTGTTTGTCCTGTTGTTTGTTTTGTGTGGGTTTGTTGATTTGTTTTCTTTTCCTGATGGGCATTTGATGCTCTGTGGTGTTTGTCTGGTTTTTTGTTTTGTCATGGCAGCCGGCAGGGGTCCCTGGGTCTTTGAAGGCGGTGCTGGAGTGACAATTTGGTGGATTATTGGGCCCATCGTAGGTATGGGTGTTCCTTCCAAATTATAAGGTCATGTTAGTAAGGTGGGAGGTCATTGGCTGTATCTGGGACTACGTAACTGTAGTATTGTCCTTGAGGCGGTGTAGTAGCGACTGGGGGCCTTACATTGGGCTTCAGATACAGCCGAGGTATTGATGTGAGCAACAGTGCTTTTGAAGACCTTGGACCTGGTTGGGATCATTACTGTCAGTTATTATTTGATTGTATTGTAAGAAGTGTTATGTAATAGTTATGTTAAATAAATGGGCTGCTATGGCCGGTTTTACACCAAAAAGGAGAGTTGCGTGGTTATTTAGGTGGGGAGGGTTGAAGGGTGGTGGTTGTTTTATGGTTTAGGTGGTAAGTACTAACCTCAATATTCTGCATGTCCCTCAGTCATGCTTTAGCTTTTTCCCCAAGCTGTTACATTTAGGCTAGGTTCACATTATTGCAGGACAGCCCTGAATCATTCAGCTTCCAGCAGTGGCAGCTCCCATATTTTTGCCCCTGTACCAAATGAGCTCACCAGTCTATTTCTCTGCACCGTTTGTAGAAATGCTCATGTTCCTTGTAGTGTGATTGTCTCTTTGTCTTCCTCTGGAAATTATACTATGTTGTAATCTTCACAATGCCCTTCATTTTCTAAGAACTTGTGCCAAATTACACAATAAAGGAGGTAATTCAGATTTATGACTTTTTGTGAATGCCTGTGAAAAAAAAGTTTAATTAAAGTGAACCTATGAGGATGGAAATAGGGGAGCTCCCATGACAGGCCCTGAGATTGCCATTTTGAACTTTATTTAACCACATGCCACCCAGCCACTGTAGAAATACGTTGGCAGGGCGGCACGGCTGGGCAAAAGCACGTTTTAAAACGTGTGTTTTTAAAACAGGCAGGGGGTGCGCGCGAGGCGTGCTGCCGCCCTACCTGTCCCGCCAATCACAGCCACGGATGTCAGTCGCCGGGTCACAGCCAGTCGTTATTGGCTATGTCCCGGCGATCGGCGGCAATCGCTGACAGAGAGCACACCTGCAGTAGCTGTGCTTTCTGTCAGTTCCCTGACAGCTCCAGGACACGCTGATTGGGACAGAAGAGTTTCTCTCTCCCGATCAGCGGTGTTTCCTGCAGTACACCCCCCCCCCCGCCCCCTAGTAAAACACTCCCCTCACACAGTTAACCCTTTCCCTGAATAATAAACTTAACTCCTTCCTCCCCAGTGCCATTAGTACAGTGTCAGTGTTTTTTTTTTTTGCATAGCAAAGCCCTCAGCTCTGACTTGAAATAACCTGGCTGACTCATCCCAGGCTGCTATTCAGCCTCTGCCTCATAGCTAAATAGAGGGGGCGCCACAACTCTTTTTTGAATTAGTGCACATGCTTGCTGACACGAATAAGGGTGATGCTGTGATTTTGGGATGCAGCCTGGGTCAGGACAGCATCGTCAGGAAACAGCACCTCGATGTGGCTTTAACGGGACAGCTGCCATCTATGTGGCTTTAACGGGACAGCTGCCATCTATGCTATAGCTGCAGACCCTATAGAACAATTCATTCTCAGTTTTTACAAGAGATGCAGTGAAGATGTTCAAGCCTTGGGTCTCAGCACTCTGCTCTCCCCTCCTCCTGTGTACTTTATCGGTGTTTACTTTAGAGATTAAATGTCTGGAAGTCTGTAAAGTGACTGCTGAAAGAAAATAAAAGTATG